GACAGAGCTGTCTGTCCTGGTTGCTGCTGAGGGTCTCTGGCCTGCGGCTCTTGCATGTTATCATCTGCCTTTGGAAAAACACCATCTCTACCCTTCCTCTGAAGACCAGCAGAGCCCGAGATCCTCTTGAGGGTTGGTACTGAGCCCTCAGTGCTGCGTGGGCGACACGTTGTGCCCACATGTACACACCTTCCTGCCGTTGGGCTGTCGGTGTCGGCTCCCCAACCTCCTCCCGCTGCGGCCGCGTCCCGCAGGCAGCGTCACTGCCCCGGGAGCCTGGCCTGAGCCTGGACCGTGCTGGTGACCCTCCAGCAGCCCTGTCAACCTGCCAGCTGAGCTGGATGTGCCCCCGCACACAGGCAGGTGACTGTGATGGTGGGAGATCATCTCCAGAGCGGTAATATCAGCGATTATACCCTCCTAATGCAAACAGCAGTATTTAAACCCAAATAAGAGCTGTCATGTCAGAAGATGACAGGCAAATTACTGGAAGTTGGTTTGTTTTTTTTTTTAAGTTCTAAGTGTGTAATTTGTGCTGTTTCAGAGGGATTAGAAACCTAAAGGTTAATTGTTACCCCATAGACCCACACTTCCTGTGTCACAGTTAACCGGGGTGGGGGGGCTGGATGTGATTTTTGGTTTAACTGGTGAATGGTGACAGGTTTTAACCTTTCAGTTATTTTAAGAGTTGTTTCTCAATCGCTTAGGTAGGTAGTCCCAGCTAGTCCAAATGTCCTCCCAGCACGTGGCTGTTACGCTTCCATAGTGTTAGTGACCGTGTTGGTTGCATCCATGAAGGGTGGATTCTTTGGGGACTGTCAAACCCCAGATGTGACTGTCCAGATGTGGCCTAGAGCTCAGGAAGTCTTCAGGGAAACATCCAGAGCAGGAGGAGGATTTCTCTGTGCTGGATGTTCTCGTGCTGCTCCTGAGCAGCCCTCACTGTCAGGCAGGGCCCTGGCTTAGGTAGGTGGTTGAATCTGAACACATGTGGCTCTTACCACCCTTGTTTTGGGAACATATTGGAGCATGGAGTAAATTCTTCTCCCTCAGACAAATCACCTCTGGCTTGGCTTGCCCTAGAAAGGAAGAAAGTTTAGTCCAGTGTGTCCCAAACCTGACAGGAACAGATTTGATTTGGACTTAAGCACTGAACAGGTGAGAACTGGTCACTGTGATGGATCATTCCTTCAACTTGACCCTACAACTTCTGATCAGGTAGTGGCAGAGGTCCAGCTGTTCACCAGACTCGTAGAGATCCCTTAAAACAAGCTGTTAACAGGAAAAAAAGGGTCAGAGGGGCTGGTGAGGTGGGATGTGACAGTGCAGTTTACGGGTTCAGTGTTTGTGATGGGCAGAGCTTTGCAAAGGCAGAGGGGCAGCTTGCACAGAGAGTGAATGTTGATCTTGTTTTACTTGAGTCTTCCCGCAGGATCCTTTGGAACTTGCTCAGCTCCATGTTACATTTCTAACAGTGATGCCTTAGTAAAATAAAATTTAAAAGAAAACCCAAACTTTAAATGACTGATCCATTCAGCTGTGGTTCCGCTGGGCAGCGAGAGCAGGAGTACGAGTGACGCATAGGTGGGAGTGGGTGTTCGAGTTGGGAGGGGAAGAGAGGGAACCTCATTAAATCTTGCGTTCTTCGGAGGAAGAAGGAGCTTTGAGAACGTGCTTTTATTTTTAAAGGGTTATTTAAAGATTTATGCAGCTCTGTAGAGAGCCTTAAATGTTACATGTCCCTGGTTCAATGGGTGTTAAGCATCTCATCTGAGGGAAGTGCTGAGGGGAGAATAACCGTGGCGCTGGGCACGTGATGGAGCATCCTCTCTCCGGAAGCTGCCGTCTTATTCGGAGAGCAGCAGCATGTGCAATAAATGGATGTGAGCATCTTGCTTGGTGCTTTGTGCTGTGCTTTAGATTTAGAAGCTGCGCTCTGCTTTTCTTCTCCCCTACCATTAACCCTTTCCTGTGCTGCAGCCCAGTCCTCCTGCAGAGGCAAATGGCTGCCTAGCTTGTTTCTGGGGTTTTTTTTTTTTGTTGGCTTTTTTGTTTTGTTCTGTTTTACTCCCTTAGGCTAGAAAATAAAGCCAAGACTGGAGTCTTTAAAGCCTGGTTGGTGCTTGAAAAGGTGCATTTGTGGCCACAAATCCTGTGTGCTGTTTGTGTCTGACAAACACAGCAATTCAAAAGCTCTTCACGGTTTTTCTTTTGAAACCTTTTTTTTTTTGTGCCTGAATGAGCTGGATGGAGCCATTAAGAAATGTGAGAGGTGGCAAGGACGACCATGCACGTTCTCAACGCCTCTCTCAGCCCTCTCTTTATTTATTTCATTTTTAGCGTGGTGCAGAGGGTGATGGTGAGGTGGGATGTAGCTGTTTGAACAGACACAGCCCTGGGTCACTGGCTTCCGCGTGGGCAGGCAGTTGCCAAGACTTCAGCCCATGTTGAATTTTTATTTTCATTAATTTGAACGTCAGCAACTGTCATTGGTGAAGGAGGTAAAATTAGCTTGAGATTCACCCTCCCTCCTCGGTATCTGTAATGGGCTCCTGGGACTGTGCTGCTGAAGCAGGGTGGGGGGCGGAGGAGGGAAGAGTCACACAAAAGACAAACGAACTGGTTGGGATTATATATATACATATATTTTTTTTATTTTTTATTTTTTTTCCCCTCCCCAGTCAGAAATGTTAATTGACTTGGCCTGAGCTCAGCTGAGGGAGGGGAGGGATAAGTGTTCAGCTTTGCTCTGAATTGGGGTTATTTGAGGCTCTGCAGACGTGCAGTTGGAATGGAAGGAGAAGAGGAAAAACCCTGAACGTGGGGTACAGCCGGGCTGTGCTGCTCTGGGGCTGCAGCCTGACCCACGCCGAGCTGCTGTGCCCCGAGTCCCCAGGGAGAGCCCTGGCCCTGCAGGAGCTCTGGGGACAGCCCGTCCCTCTCCTCTGCAGGGGCTCCTAGAGCTCGGCTGCCTCAGCCCTTCCCAGGAAATCACCCCTCCGGAGGGCTGGGAAGCTGATGGGATTGGTAGCAGGTCCCTAAGTGGAGGGACCAAGTGGAGGCCACCAGGATAATCCGAGGGCTGGAGCAGCTCTCCTGTGAAGACAGGCTGAGAGAGTTGGGGCTGTTCAGCCTGGAGAAGAGAAGGCTCCGGGGAGATCTTATAGCGGCCTCCCAGTACCTGAAGGGGCTACAAGAAAGCTGGGGAAGGACTTTTCATAAGGGCAGTTAATGACAGAACAAGGGGAAATGGGTTTAAGCTGAAAGAGGGGAGGTTTAGATGAGATATTAGGAAGAAGTTCTTCACTTGGAGGAGCCAGCTGAGAGGAGACAAGGGGCAGCTCACCAAATCCATCACACTTGTAACCCAGAATCGTCCTACAGCAGGTGGGTCCCTCCTGCCTTCCCTCTCCTGCTGTTTTTGGGCCCCTGTCCCCAGCCTCTGGCAGACCAGCAGGACCTCACCCTGTTTTGCACGGCCAGAGGCTCAGCTCTGGTGTGCTGGAGTGTCCAAACCACGGCTGACCAGCTGGAAGAGCCGACTGCTTTGATCTACAGATCAATCAGCCGGGTAATTCCTCAAGGTGATTCCTGCCTGAGCCCAGCTCTGTGGCTAAGCCTGTTTTTTGGGGGAGAAATCCACTCCCTGGTGAGCACCCTGCTTCTCTGCTGCTCACAGCCTGTGCCAGGCTGGGCTGGCCATGGAAGCGCTTGATCTGCTGCCGGATTTCCAAGGATGAGTGTTCACTCTGGCCTGCTGGGCATCATCCTGCTCCAGCCTGTACTTTGCTCCTGGTCTTTGCACTGGTGAGGCTTTACCAAAGGGGCCGTGGGCTGGGCTGGGTCCAGGCTCCTGCTGCTGTTACTGCTTCGGGGTCTCTGCGAGTGGTCAGCGAGGCTGATCCCTCTCCCCAGCATGAGCCCTTCAGGGAGAGGAAGGTGGGTGCTGAAGGTGACTTTGAACAAGGTGACCTCTGTATCTCCTTGGAAGCTTTTGTTTCCCAGATGACTCCTCGCCCATGGAGGACGTGCCGTGGCTCCCCGTGCAGGGACGGAGGGTGGGAGGAGGGTGGATGGGAACCCACGTAGCCCTGTTGTGACAGCGGTACCCAGGAAGGATGTGGTGAGGTGGAGGGTGCAGGGCTCCAAGGTGGACCCTCGCTGTTCTCCTCTC